TCCGTCTTCATCTACTCTAAAGATGTGAATGCTTCCCTCCCACAGTACAGTGTGCCAGTGGTGAAGTACGACAGGAACGGGTTCAGGCCTCGTCTCCGGCAGCTCATCTTCACCCAGGAAGCTGCCTACCTGGTTGAGGAGGCCAAGATCAAGCAGCGGATAGATTACATCTCTCTGAAAGGTGTCCTGTGAGACAAAAACAAAAACACATGTGATTAAGGGTTTAAAGGTAACTCTTTTTTTGTTTGTTTTTTAAGGTGTGTCAGTTAGCAACCTGAGTGACAACTTCTTGATCCTTCATGTTACATGTGATGACATCAAACAAAAGGTATGCCCATCAACAGAATGGCATCTATAAATATCTAATGACTTGGAAAAGTACCAATATTTCTCTTTTTAAATGTCAAAATCACTTGTGCCACATTCTTATCCAATCTGCAAAGCCAATACAGACATTCCTTAGACTCAAAGCATTCACTTAAAGGGACAGTTCACTCCAGAATCAAAACTACATGTGTTGCCTCTTAATTTGTTGTGCTATTTATCAATTAAGATAGTTTTGGTGTGAGCTGTTGAATGTAGGAGATATCTGTTGTAGAGATTATTGCACTCTCTCGAATATAATAGAACTAGATGGCACTCAGCTTGTGCTGCTCACAAATGGAAAACAAACAAAACAAAACAAAATAGAAATAAATAAAAAAATGAAAAATTCCCCAGTAATGTCACTTTCCAGAAATCATGACCTCCTTACTCAAGATAATCCACAGACCTTGTTGTGAGCAGTTTCATATAGGAGCTATTTTCTTTTGACCAAGCTACAGCCGCCAACCGTATCACTGTACAGAGGGAAGCATTCAACAATGCTAGCTTATGTAGCACCACTAGGCTAGCAAATATTTTACCTCATTTGAGGATGCAAAGCCTGTGTATCAAAAAATCTTGGGATAGGATACATATCACAATAAAGGGATTTTGATTCAATATATGGAAATATATTAGAATAATGTAAGCAAGGTGATATATTGCAACTTTTAAAATCTAATTTGAGCAAAACTGTCATTGCTAATGGTACATCCCTCATGACTCTGCCTGTTTCATAGGCCTGTGTTCCTTGTGTTTATGCAAGCAATACGGAGTGGAAGAGTCAAATGGCTGAAACTAGATTACAACACTAAAGGATCTGCTGTCGAGGCTTTAAACACAACACAGAACTAACCACTGCCACAAGTCTTTGTATGTAAACTATTAATAAAAATCTGAATATGGTGTTTTTCGGCGCCAATACAGTATCATAAAACATAATACTGCAATACTCAAGTGTATTGATATTTTTTTTACACTCCCAGTGTCCCATTTACATCACGAGCATGTGACTCTCATCCATGAGTAGATGCCCACTTCCTTCTGCATGATGATTCAGTTGTTGGTTGGTTGGAAAGAGACATTCCAACCAACCAACAACTGAATCATCATGCAGAAGGAAGTGGGCATGATGATTCAGTTGTTGGTTGGTTGGAAAGAGACATTCCTGTTGTGTATTTTAAAGGTATTTTTTCGGCTCTTTGCGCACCACAAGCTGAGTGCCATCTAGTTCCATTATGTTCAAGAGAAGGTAGACATCTCTACAGTCGATATCTCCAGTACCCTGCAACTCACACCAAAACAATCTAGACTGACAAATAGCACTAAAGGTAAGAGGAAAATATATATTATTGATTTGGGAGTGAACTGTCCCTTTGAATTGGCTTTCACTTTATCATTCAGACACAGTTTGGAGACAGTATGGAGCACAATGCCCAGTTTAGTTTGAGCTGCCCTAGGGTGATGCTGACCCCAGAGTATATCAGAAACAATACTTAATGAATTGTTTCTTCCAGGTTTAGGGATCATAAATACATCATGTCCTAACAGGGAGTGGACTGATGTCATTGTTTCTTCTAGGGGGATCTGGTTCTGCAGTGTGACTACCTGTTTGAGGCCCTGACCAAGCTGAGTCTTATTGCCAACAAGCAGAACTCCATCAAAGTGGTCCAGGGCAGGTACAGTATCTGGAATTTATGTATTGATATTATTTTGAAAGCTAAGAAATGGTAAAATGGTAAAAATGATAGCAGTGATAAATTTAGTGTGAAATTGTTTTTCCAACCTGCAGTGTACGATTTGACATCCAGCCTGGCAGAGAAGGCTTTGTGGACTTCAAGAGTGGTCAGGAGTCTATGGTCTACAGGGCAAAGAACGGCCATTTGATGGTGGTGAGTTCATCAAAGGATCATGCTATGACATGTAAAATTATAATTTGTATAAACAACTGATCAACCGTTTACTTCCCTCTTTAGGAATCTACGAGAAGCAGGTCCAGATGAGGCTTCCAGAGATCTGGGATGATGTTGCTGCAAATTCTAGCAACAGCCGTGTTTGTTCTGTAATCCTGCTCCATGGTTGTTGCCAATTGTGTTGTATGTCAGCTGATTTTTAATTTTTGCATCTTTATGACAATGTTATCAATGTATCCGATAATGACAATGACGCACTGCCAATATCTTAGTTGAAGACAGTAGACAACAAGCAAAGAGTAGAGCCTCGCCAGAATATGAGTTGGTCTGCTTGTTCCTAATGTCTGGAGATTAAATCATCTGATCCCAGCTCAGAGTCATGGAAATCAACTGCCCTTAATGACCAGAGGCACTTGTAATCTTTTTTTGTATTAAATGTATCTGAAATCCTGTTTAGAATAGACAAAAATATATGTGTGCAGCCATGAATACCTCACCCATGTTGTACTGTTACATTAAAACATATTAAATCAAGATAGGCACTGCGTGTGAAAGACAAATCAATTTTGGGGTGAACAGTACTTTAGTACAGAGTAAAATACACCAGCACAGTTCAAATGCATGTTTGAAAGTCTATGAGATGGTTCCTGGGGTAGCAGCTCCCCCTATGGGCCTACTGCAGGCCCTACAGGTCTTCAGATTGTATTTAGGTTGCTAAATGAAACCTCAGAGGGAATCCAACACAGTTTTGTGATGATGTCATGTGAAGAATTATATTACTACTGCCCTCTACTTCAAGGTGATGCCAATTTGTTGGCCAAGACACAAATAAGGACATGAAGCATTAAAGTGTAATTTCCTCTGAATTATTAATTTTGTCTCAGTGAAGGCAGTGTTGTAACTTAATCAGCAGCACACTCACCTAGACAACACAAATACCAACATGAAAAGAAAATATTAAATTCAGAGAGAAATGGAAAATTGTCAGTCCTCAAAAGACTATTCTTGGTTCCTCATGAAAAAAAGAAGCTTTCATCGGTCTAAGTTGTCAGCACTTTAGCAAGTTGGCAACGTTCAGGCTGACAACTGCTTGCTCAAATGCAGTCTTTTTTGTTTTTAATTCTATGAATTGTTGTGTTAGCACACATTATCTTCTTTATAGTATGAAGAAAAATGCTGACTGAGAGTAACAAAATGTAAAGACTGGATTTGATTTATGATTGTGTGGCTCCCCTGCCTTCTCAAATGTCAACTTAAGTTCACCATGCACAATGTTAGCAATGTAACACGCTAATGGGGACAGTATAGGGTCAGTTGGGACAGGGGGACACTTGGGAAAGTGACTTTTTAGCCAGTTAGAAAGCAACAATACCTATGGCATTCACCATTCTCATACTCAGCCACACCCTTGTGAGAGCCCTCTGACTATTTCCCACATTTTAGTCACAGTTTTGAAATCTACACCATGGAAGTTCACTTTCTGGCTCTTTTGTATATTTTTCTTCTATCTTAATGTTTTAGTTATGGCACATAGAAAAAAACACATTGTTGTAAAGTGGATATCAGTTGTTGTTAGTGTTAGCTGTCTGATTTATTGTTGATAGCTGCACAGGAGTCCAATGTGTGTCTGCTCTCCCTGGGATGGTAAAGATAGTTACTCTGGGGCAGTTAGGACAGATTGCTTGATCTATTGCTTATAGATCCTACCTTGTTACAGATTAACAAAAAAGACAAAAACAAGACAAAGGCTTTTCCTAATTGATTAAAACCCATCGTGAAGTCATTGAGTGAATGTTTACTACATGAACCTCATACAACCCAACTGTAGCCTATGTTAACAACATTGAGCTAATAGGTGCTAATGAAGTTAAGACTCAGAAGACAGGCACATTCCATATCTCAGTAATTTATGAAAATATAATAATTTTACATTTTTTTCATTTTACTCAAAGAAACACATTAATAATGTGACATCATAAATATGAGGTGTTAATTTATATATATNAGAACCTATACTGTCCCAGGGATTAAAAAGGAGGCCAGGAGGTAAAATGCACATTTAATGAAACTGTGCCTTTCACGCCTGGGTTGGGCTCTAAAAAACTTAAAAAGTAAATAAAAGATAAAAAATAATAATAATATTTTTTAACACATACTTGTTCAGGGATCAAATTATTTTCACTACAGCTCAAATAGTCTGTGAGTAATAGAAGATTTATTTGTGTTGATGAAAAAATATCCCAACTAACCCTGCTATCCCCTACATACCTGCCTGGCTAGCTTGCTATATTTTTAACTGACACAGTACATAATCTTAATAATGAATTAAATACACAGTATGTCATGTCTTTCATATCATTGCAATGATTTTTTTTTTTTTTTTAATATCATTTCACAGGATGGATTTTTGCTGCACCAAACATAAGATATTTAGCTATTATCTTCATAATTGTGTCTTTACAAGTGGAATCTTTATCTAACTATAATGAGTAACGTTGACCAAGAGCCAAGATGAGTTCCTGTCACATACAACCTAAAACTAATTAGTCCTTCAATAAATCTTACGCACTAATTGGCAGTGAAGTGAGATATCAAAGGTCAAAGATAGTCATGTGAGGATAAAGTGCGTTCCTATCATAGTGACATCTGGTTGATGATTAAACAGATGTTTGTAAATGCCTCTGTTGAGAAGAGCCAAGGTTTAGGAAAATGCTGAGTATATATACCTGGGATGAAAGGAGCTGAGAGAGCAGCAGAAACCTTAGCTGGCATATTCACTCTGTTATGATGGACAGACTAACAGCGGTAATATTTGTCCTCCTGGTTTCATGTATCTGCAGGACATTAGGTAAGTACCCACACATTTCTGAATTGCCACATACATTGTGTTTTGTCACTGTCGTTTAAAGTAATACCAACCTATAACTATAACTTGCTTTTGGATTTATCAATTTTTAAAAAAATGCTGGCACAGTCCACACTCCATACTTAAGATACATCTCTTTTTCGGACAGGACTGACATGTGAAGGAAACTGTGGGCTACAAGTTTTCTCATGTTCATGCCACTCAACATGTGAGTCCCTGAAGACCTGCTGTACAGACTATAAGGAGTACTGTGTGGAAGCCCTTCCATATTCTGGGTCCATTTTGGGTGGGACAGATTTTACTATCCTTGAAGCGAGTTTCAATAGTTCAGAGATCATATGCAGGTAAGACTTTGGGTTACAATTTGGACAGTCCACCCACAGATAAATTATAGGGTATCTGTAACATTTCAGCAGCTTGTTAGTTGAGATTCAGCTGTTTTGTTTTGTCTGTACATAAGTGTGTGTTCTTGAATTTTCACATAGACACATATAGACAAAGCAAAATAGTTCAATTGCTGATTGAATCTCAGCTAATAAGCTGTTGAAATGTTACTTTATAAACTATCTGAAAAATGTTCCATCTGTTCCTTTACATGGGGTACTGGGTACAGATATGCAAAGGGCCCCACCACCTTCCCAAGACAGGAGCAAGACAAACAGATTTTGCAGTGGTTTTGAATCTCTTTTTAGTTGTTGGTTTTTGTGGATTTGTGTCTGTGTGGTAGATTCGTGTCTCCTTGTGGTTGTTTTGTGTCTATTTTAGGGAATTTTTGATCTTTTTGGTCTTTCTATGTCTCTTTTGTGTCATTTTGTGTCTCTTCCTGCTCTGTACATGTTGATTTGAGTGACACTTTGCATGTGAAGGCCCAGGAGCCCTGTCACTTTGTGCACCTGGGCCTGTGCCTGGTAGGCCTGTTCAGTAACCCATCCTTGTTCTTGAACCTGCTCTGGTTAAATCTTTGATTAGTTAAATGATTGAGAGAAATTACAACTTTATTTACTTCATAGAAACCTGCTGACCATTCTTTTATATCTAATGGCAGGTTCAACTACAGTACTAATACTGTGGGGTATGTGGATGACCACAGTAGAGGCCATTGTATCTCCCCGCTACTGTATGAAACAGGATGGATTCCCTTGGACATCTCCTCTGATAATGGCACCACATTCAACAGAGTTGGCAGCTGGCTCTCAGGTACAGTTACTGTCTGCATATTCTTAAGAGGACGACCTCAAAACTAAAACACAGTTTTCTATTTGGTGTTGAAATGACAGTAACATTATTTGATTCAAATGTGTTGCTGCAGTTCATACTGGCAAGTTAGATGCTAAGTTTAAGGCGACTCTGGTCAACTCAACAAAATGGCAGTACTATGGTACACCTGATGTTGGAGGCATTCTTGAGATGACGTGGAATACCTCTTTGGTCATAGCGGACAGGGTCAATATAGAGCTCTGGGGATACAGGGAGACAGGTGAGTACACCTGTTTATTTATACTTTGTAGATCACATGACTATTAGCTAAGTAAAAACAAAGGATTCTGTTAAATGTTTCTCTGCAGGAGAACCCTACTCAGCCAACTGGCAGGGTGAGTGGAAATACCTGTACTCACTTGCAAAAGATCAGCCCAACAATGGCTCCTTTAGCTTCTTGCCTAAACCAGCAGAGAACGGTTTTGCAAGTTGGGAACTTGGCTCTCTACGCATCAGCCCCAGCAAGTACCCTGATGGCATGTGGTATGTACAGTACACCTCCTATTAGTGTTGTCATGATACTGGAATCTCTAACTTCAATACAATACATTGAAAAATATCAATATTTGATACTATTATCGATACCATGAGGAAAAATTGACAAATTTGACTGAATGAATTTGAATTTTCTTGGTTAGTAGCAGATAACACAGAAAGACTGTAGTAAACATTAATAATAAGAGAGAGCAAGGAAACACAGCTGATATCTGCGTATCTATACTGCAGAAAATGAGTACTGAAACAATTTCACATGTTCAGAATCATCACGAATCAATAATACAATATCTTTTAAACAATCCTTCCTATAATATAGAAAGACTGTATTATTCTGGTTGTCAGCTGTACAGTATTTGTCATGCCATTTAGGAATGTACAAGCCGCATGGACCGAGGATCACGCTCTGGCCTGGCATCTGGAGGAGAAGTTCAGGCAGAACTCGACAGTTTGGGCCCTGGATAAATGTCTAGCATGGGACAAGCTGGAAGATAAGCTGCCGAACTTCCTCAGCGAGATCATAGACTGCCCCTGCACTCTGGCTCAAGCGAGAGCAGACACTGGGAGGTTTCATGTAAGTGGGAAGAGCAGCAAGTTTGGCTGCAATCACATGAGACAGCCTTAAAAAATAATGGCCCAAAATCACTGTGAGATGATTCAAATTACCTCATGCACATAAATGCAGTTACAGGGATACTTTGCCATTTTCAACCAGCTTTGTATCATAATAACATGGGTAGTGCATGTAAATCAGCATTTTTTTCCTGGCTCTTGGGGTCTCGCTCAAACACAGACCAAACTCCAATCAAACGTCAAAACTAGGCGGCGCTGATCAAATAAAAACATAAGATCCTTTTCCTGTATTGCCCATTTCTCGCCTAAAATGTCTTCAAGAACATATTTTAGTGCACTGTTTGGCTGTAATGTGAGAAATCGTGAAGTACTGTATTGTAACAACAGAGACCCAAAAAACGGTAGCGGTGGTGCTAATCAAATATGAACCAAGATTGTGTTACTGTGTTGCCTCTTTCTCGCCTAAAAATGTGTTCAGAAATATATTGTTCAACTGTGATTCGAGATCATTTGTTACCAGCCACCTGCATATTGTTTATGATTTGAAAATAGCCAAGCTTGTGTTTTGCCACCTGCCAGTGAAAGCGCTCACTGGTGTGTCAAAGTGCATGCTGGCAGATGCGGTTTTCTTTCTTTTTCCTCTCGAGCAAAAGTGAATGCCACAGTCCCCTTTCTTTGTTTTCTCAGGTCATTTAGCAACAATTTTAAAAGTATTTACGTCTACTGCATCTTTCCAGCAGTGAAATATTAAAATGTAGGCAGTGGTGCCTCGGTAGCTCACCCTTTGATTTTAGAAACAAATGTCTAAACAAGATATTATGACTGCTCAATTTCCTCCCCTCTCTTTTCCTCCTATCCTGTCTATCTTCAGCTGCCCTATAATAAAGGCAACAAACCCAAATCATAACATCATAAGTTATGTCAACGCAGGCTTAAATAGACAATCATCACACAATTTAAATAACACACATGCACTCATATGTCTCAGATGAACAGAAAAGAGACATCATAACAGTGTTTTTATGTGCTACATTAACTATGTAATGATTTTATGTGTTTATGGTGACTGTCAGTGGCTGTGGCCTTTTACTAATGCTCTCTGCTTATCAGTTCAAAGTCAAGGAGCGGTCTCCCCTAAATGTTTTTACAAGCATTCTTGGAATGTTGACCACGTCTCAGCATCAATCTTATGCCTTTTATCTGACACATTTACAGTAAGGGTTAGGCAAAGCCATTACTGTCTTCTAATGACTGTTGAGTGACATGCAGTGTTAAATCTGCATGTATGTGTTGATGTACTGATGTAGTACACCTCTGATCTGCATGTGTGTATTGATGAGGATTATTTTCTCTCTGGATTACAGTATACATATGAACATGGTTGGCTGCTTGGTCACAGTGGCTTTCTCTTTCTCCTCAGACTGACTATGGCTGCGATATGGAGAAGGGGAGTGTGTGCACATACCACCCTGGGAGTATTCACTGTGTGAGGGCGATACAGGCAAGGTGAATTCTTCACTCAGACTTGCAGAATATTATATTCTAAATATTACAACTGCATTTACATCAAAAGCAATACTTTGAAACACAAAGTATTTATCTAATTTACAAAGCAGCCTGTATTAATTAATCTTTATTTTCTGTTCTTTTATCTGAGCTGTTAATTACACATATAACCTCAAAGAAATGCCCACACCTGGCCCACCCTGCCTCACCCCAGAAGCAAACAGTAGTAAATACCCCCGTAATCCTCCTTGTACTCACTTGTAAGTTAGTGCACTAATGGTTAAACTCTGCACCCACCCTCTTTATGAAAGCTTAACTTGAATAATGACACCTGACACAGTAAAACTTTACTCTGTGCACTGATTAATGGAGCCACCTGCCCATAACTGTACATTCATACCTAAAAATATATCAAAAGCATCCTGAAAGTAGTACTACACTACAAGGTAAACAACTAATTAAAAAATTGATGTAACTTTTAACAATACTGCAGTAAATAAAATGTAAAAAAAATTATGCGTAATCTACACCAGTAGATTTCATGGGGAGGATGGAGGATGTTTATGGGGAGATAATTGGTCAACAGTACATGCCACATTTAAGTGGTATACATCATCTCAAAGCTGGGCACCTAAAGAATAATTTGAGATACAACTCAACTCTTTTCTGGGTATTCATATGTATTAAACATTGTGTTTTGGTTAGGAGCCTGTAAAAGGGCTTAGATCATTATAACTGAAGTATATGATGGCCATTTCCATGCTCAATTATGTCTCAAAAGTTTTTGTAGATACTTTTAGGTCGATAGTATTTGTCACATAGTTTTAGTGCTAAATTTAAGCATTTTTGACCACTTGAGAATTGATATAAATGGTCAAAAATCCCTCGAAAATAGACTTACCACATTAAGCCACCAACACAGTAGAAAAATACATGCTGTGATTAGGTATCAAAACTTTCAGAGAATGTTTAGAAAACATTAAGAGATTTGTCAAAATTGCATTTTTCTATTGATTGGAGGATAAGCGTTTCTGTTATGGAAACTGCTGAGAAACCCCATTATTGCCAATATTAGGTACACACTTTCATGTCCTCCTCAAGATTATCAGGTCAAAATTTGACTTTGTTCAGTACTTTGGTTTATGACTGAATACCTGCAAAACTAATGACACTCCCATCAGTCTCAGGTGTACTTTGTTTTCATTTCAAATTAAAAAAATGTTAGCAAGGTAACACTCTAAAGTAAGATGTCAAACATAGTAAGCATTACTGCCTAACTTTAGATTAAATTGCTGACATGTTTCTATCAACAGTCCTAGGTACGCAGCGGGACAACAGTGTTGCTATGACAGCACCGGCGCTCAGGTTTTGACAGGAGACTCCATTGGGGGAAGCACTCCAGACCGAGCACACGACTGGGGCTCACCTCCATTCAACAACCCCCCTCGGATTCCTGGACAGTCCCACTGGGTCTATGACGTCCTCAGCTTCTACTACTGCTGCCTGTGGTCTGACAACTGCCACTACTACTTCAAACACCGGCCCTCCAGTGACTGCAGGCGTTACCAGCCACCCAGCTCAGGTGAGTCAACCTTTAACCATGGTGTTATGTGTTTCATAATATTATTGTTGTTTTGTGTGGAGACTTAAATTCTTGTGTGAAATGCCAGCTGTGGTGTTTGGAGATCCCCACTTCATTACATTTGATGGTGTCAGCTACTCCTTCAACGGCTTTGGGGAATACACTTTGGTGACCTCGAGAAAGAAAATGCTGACAATCCAAGGCAGAACAGAGCCTGTGAACGGTGAGTTACTGAAGGCTCTGAGCTTTTCAAAGTTTGTCTTTCTCAGCAATGATAATATCACTTGATAAGTGTGACAAATATTTCTAAAACACACTGTACATACACTATTATAATTCCTCATCCCTGCATCATTGATCTGATTCTTCCACTGTTAGAAACCTCAATAAAAGCAACAAAGTTGACGGCTGTAGCCATGAAGGAAAAACTCTCTGATGTTATTGAGGTGCGGTTGGCCAGCGGTCACAACAGTCTTGAAGTGCTGCAGAATCACAGAACCCTCTCCTTTTCTGAGCAGAGTTGGATGGACCTGCACGGTGAGACCCTGATTCAACTTTTTGCTTATTATTTTCGTATCCCTGATAAAATCTTATAAAATGTCTTCCCTTTTTAGATTTTGTTTGACAGTAAATGGGAATTTGGACACAGTTGTGACACTGTGATTAAGACAAAGTATTAAGAATGACCTCCACCTTGAGCAAGTACAACAATAAATGCTGCTTACACATTCAGTAAATGTATCAATTATAATCCAGTAATCCAATGTACTTTATATTAACATAACACTCACAGGGTCGATTTTTGCGTGTGAGTGCTTTTACTTATGAAATTTTCCTTCAATACTTCCTTCCACTGCATAAAATGTTACCAGTATACCCCAGGTACGCTGCTAATTTGTGTTGGTGACATCATTTGGAGCCAGAGTCTCCACGGTATCAATGTTCTGCCCATACTGTCTGACCAATTGCGAGCAGCACCATTGATTGTGAGCACAACAATTGGCACATGCAACTGTCAATCATGACATCAAACCCCCTTTATATAGCATCAAATCGCTCGTTATATCCAAATTTATCAGAGAGATTAACCTTTAAACGTACGTCAGTGAGATAAGAACTACCTCAATTGACAGACACAATCTTTGAGAAAAACTTTGATCTCTAAGTTTTGCCCATGTCCTATCCCAGGGGTCAGCACCCTTGGCTCTAGAGCCACATGGGGCTCTTTAGCCCCTCTCCAGTGACTCCCTATGGCTTTGACAAACAAGTGTATGGAAATGAATAAAAGTTATTTTTTTAAGATTTTCATTTTCATTTGTTGTTATTGTAGAACTAAAATAATTCATACATTCCCCAGTTGTAAAAATGTGTTGCCTATACACCAAATTAAAAAAATGTTTTGACACTCCATCAACTAAAATGTGTTGGTGTGTCACACGTCCACGGCCTGGCGCCTTTTCCTCGAAATTTTTTCGTGATCCTTACTGACAGTGGCTACTCTTGAGTCTAGCTAAACTAGCCATGGAAAAAGAAAGTCTTGGAGAAATTAATTAGAATTTAATAGTTCCTAGTATACCTTTATAAGACTCAAATTTTTTGGCTTCACTTTTGGGGAGCTTTCATGTCGTTCATACAGTCTATAGGCTCTATGCAAAATTCAAAGCGTAAGAGTGGTCTGGATACGGTTCTCAACATGGAGGTGGTTGAGCCGGCGGCTAGCAACTAACGGTGCTAACTCCATAAACAGAGCTAAACAACGGCAACAGTGCAGGAAGGAACAGCTACGCTTCTGCTACAACACACACATTTTCTGTACTTTCACTTTTTCAATTCTCAATGCAGGACTTTTACTTGTAATTAAGTATTCTTACACAGTTGTGTCACTACTTTTACTTTAGTAAAGGATTTAAATATTTCCTCCACCCCTGCAGAATTGTGAAATGAAAAAAACTGTTCCAACTTTGGCATAAATGTGTGTGTTCCTGTAGGACCCACACAGTAAGATGCTGATTGAGAAAATATCCTCTCAGGGTCTTCAAAGTGAGGTCTCGATATCATCTTGTTAAAACTAAAAGAACTGCCTTTATTCTGACTTAATCTCCCTTCTAGGTGTGTTTGTGTTTTCTCCGTCCTCTACAAATGTGACCGTGATGTTCCCCAGTGGAGCCGGGGTGGAAGTCCGACTGAGAGAGAGAACCATGACAACCACCGTGCTCCTGCCAGAGGGTTTCAAAAACTCCACCCTGGGACTGCTGGGAAAGATGAATGGTGACCCCAGGGATGATCTCGCTCTCACCAACGGCCAACTTGTGCAGAACCACAGCAATCCAGAGGAGGTGTTCAGCTTTGGGGCAAGCTGTAAGAAAAAAATCTCACAATGCAGATTATGTGCTGTTCTTCAAAATTAATGTGGTGTTTACATCTGTATATTTTACATAGACTATGAATCACATGAGATTTGGATTATTAGATGAAACCACCCACATAATAAGAAGCAACTCATTCACTGTCTTATGATGTGAAATGGTTGAGTAGGTAATGATTTATTTGATCAATAAGTAAAACAAATGTAGTCAAGGCCAATATAAGGCAACTAGGAGAGTAAGGTCAGGACTATTATCAGGTTAAAAATGGAAACCTGTAGTCATAAATCTATTCCTGACTCCTGAATTATCTTGGATATTAGTCAGGAAAAATTACACGCAGGTCAAAGTTTAAGGTCCTCTTGTCACACCTCATCTTGTCATACTGCTTCCTGTTAGGGGTCATGTCCCCTGCATGTTGGGATACACCCTTTGAATTTTCATGTTGCAAAGTTTCCACTTAACTTGAAGCACTTTTAATGGTAACTGTCTAATGTTTCTCTCTGTCTTACAGGGGCCATCTCCAACAAGTCTGCCTTGTTCACATATGATTCAGACTATCTTTTGAACACATATCTCTACTATCCGAGACACGACCACACCTTTATTCCGGTGTTTTCTGTCCCTGAGAGTCCAGATGATCCATTAGCCAATCAAGCAGCTGAGATATGCTCTGGAGAGGGCGCTCAGTTCTGCAGGTATGACAAGAAAATCTTAAATAATGTTGGCTATCTCAGTAAGAATGAAGTCATGTCTCTATATGGGGAGGGTTACACATCATTAGAAGTACCACTCCTGAGGGGAACTTTCTAAACCCTGATGATGTCACTGTGATGTCATCAAACCTGTCCTCAGTCCCAGGTCACTGACACTTTGTCACACCCATAGGTGTCTGATAACAACGCACCCAGCACCCTTTAGTGTGTCTACGTGATGCACAGCTGACAAACATTGCAACACGTGGTTAATGTTGTGAAATGGTCACAGTTAGGTTTAGGCAACAAAACTACTCGGTTAGGTTTAGAAATAAAGTCATTTTTTGGGTTAAAATAAGTACGGTTGTAAAAAAAACAATCATTGACCTCAGTGAGACTTATTTTTGTTAAAAATGGGTTAGATAATAAATAAAATAATAAAAATACAGTGACAGAAATACATCATGTGATATCAGTGTGGGCCGTGCGTAAATTACATAATGTTACATAAAAATAATTCTGACTTTTGATTTAACATGTGACAAGAACTGATACCCCAGTGAGTCTTTTTTCCCCTTTATTTCTTTTAAAAAATAAAACAAACAAAAAAAACCTTAATCTTTCAAAAAAGTTTAAAGTCTGGATATTAAACCTGTTTCATTTCAATATTTAGATAAAGCTTTTTGCACCTGTACTTGTTTGTCCTCTTTCGCTGACAGACCACCTAGTGGTTGCATGTGGAATTTTTCCAAAAAGCTCAGCCAAGACGGATCAAGAGAAATGATCCAGATTTCAATTAAAGTGTTTCTTATCCACCTCCCCACCCCCTGTCCTTAGCAGACTTTCTTGCTCTTTACACTACGTCAGTTGCGCCATTGGTGTCAATATTACATGTTAAGGATATCTGACAGTGTTTGACAACCTGGGAATGAGAACAGGCCATAATTTCGGCCTGCTGAATACAAAAAGGTTGCATTCTATATTGGAAGTATGAGTTTGAAGGACATGGGTAATGACCAAGCAAAGAGGTCTCACGAAAAGCATGTAAGGAAATGTAGGACGCAGCATTTTTAGATTTTGCCCCATACAGGGAATAAAAGTAATATCTTAGCTCCTGATGATGCATTCTTCAACTTTGTTTAAATGCACTGAAGTGAAGCAATTTTCTTAACTACAGCAGCTCACTTTCTGATCAGTATCTCTGTCCTGTAGGTATGACATCCTGGTAGGCCGTAGTCCAGCAATGGGAAATGCCACCAAAATGTCTTTCCAGAGTCACATTTCCCTTGTGAAGGATCTAAAGCCAGGTGAGTTTATAAAAACACACAATGAAAAAGTGATTATAATAGATATTTGCATGGCTTCACAGTTGTTGTTTTGCTGTGCAGTGATATCCTGTGGATGGCTTTCACCGCCAACTAATGGGAAGAAGGAGGGGACCACATATTTACAAGGAGCTAAGGTGAAGCTGTCCTGCGATGACGGGTACAAACTCAAAGGATCAGAAGTGCGCGTCTGCCAGTCGAACGGCCAGTGGTCTGGACAGGACACATCCTGCGTGATTCCAAGTATGAAAAAGTTATTAAGTTTTGTCTGATAATTCTGATCTTCACAAATCAGCAGTGGCAAATGTGTCTGTATTTGAGAATGTATGTGTGTGTGCATCCTTCTGTGCATCATTTGATCCATCGAATCAGCTCTAAAAAAAAATCAAATCACTCATGACATTTTTATACAGATATTTATGTAAGCAAGAATTGCGGCTGCATTCCAATCAAATATGACACTGGGCTTAAAAGCTGTGCTGCTGTGCCAAAGGTCGGTCGGTCACTCACGCTCGCCTGAGACTTTTTCATGTCACAACTGTGGCGTTCACAGGCTCAGCCACTTTTTCCCGTAAACTTGAGCAGACACTGATGTTTGCCAGTGTGCAGTTCATCCAAGAAACATCAGTGGCAGGTGACTAATGTGGCCATTTGTCCCACTCTTACGAGAAACACGCAGCTTCACAGGAAAAAGGAGGGAAGCTGTCGGATGCAGAAAAGTGAGACCTGTTCCAGTCCAGAGTAGCTGCTTTTCAAAAACTTTTTGTGCTCTTAATGCCATTGAGTGCCTGTATTTGTGCTCATATTTGGCACAGAAAATTTGCTCCTTTTTTTTCTGTGTATAATTACTGACTTGTTCGGGAAGGTTTTCTTGTGTGTTCTTAGAAACAAACCTCTTCAACTCTTAGGTGGCTTATCCGCCTGGTGGGTGACACTCTTACATGAATGTGAATGCAGTAGCAGGAGATAAACCTGTGTTAAGCATACTAAACTAAAACCTGAACACTTGATGGTGCTAGATGAAACGTTTAGGGATCATTAGTGTTTACAATCCTCTCAGGGACAATGAGAGGTTGTACAAAAATTTGTTGCAGTCTATCCAAAAGCTGACAAGAGATTTCATTCAAATCTACAAATGTTAATCTCACCTGTAGTCAGAATCTCAGAGGATAATAAAAGTCAGTAAAGTTCATCCTCTGGGCACCATGAATGTTGGTACAAGATTTTTTGCCAATCCAGCTAATCAGTCTGGGGAAAAAAGGGGACACAACAGACGTATCAACAGACATTGCCATACCAAAAACCATGCTTTCAGTTAAGCTGCCTGCATGGCTGGGAAGTATATTATGGCCAATCACAAATGACAAGAATTAATTTTTTCTTGCCTTTGTTTGAAGCAAATACATGCACTCAAAGGGTACACTTAACATACTGGATTTTTAATTCAATACATTCCAATGCATAGGTGTAGATTTCGGGGAAAAAGGGGGGATGCAGGGGAATGCTCCCCCCAAGAAAAACATGAAAGAAACAAAGGCTTTTTATTCTGACAAAATTGAAGACATATACACATCATAAATTGGTCTATAAAAGGCGCACATTGGTGCATAAAAATAAGTGTTTGACGCTCAAAATGTTCTGGCAGAAGACCCACAAACCCCCTATTCAAATGTGTCCTCCACCAATTCAAAGTGGAAACTGAACCTACACCCTTAATCAGTAGCAACACAAAAAATACTTAGGAGACATACAACATTAAGCCAATGTGTTCCACTGAACTGGACATGAAAAAAAAAGTACAGGCATGGGATGACTGTGTCAGCAGAACGAAGTTCTACCTGGTTGGGGATCACTGTTGCATGTACTCTCACTTTCTGTCTGAATCTATGCAGTTAACTATTAAATGTAAAAAGGTAATGAAACTTCCTAGGAACTTCCTCTGTTTTAAAAACATCTTTGTCATTTGCAGGTAACGTCGCAGGAATTGTGGCCGGTTCAGTTGTTGGAGCTGCAGCACTGATTTTAATTATAACAACAATCGTACTCCACTCCAAGAGAAAGCAAAGGTGCAGTATCTTCAGCTGATGCATTATTAATCTGTAGGACAACATCTTTTAAATTCATTAACTCATTTAATGAATGTGGAAAAGTTTCACAGAAGCTTTGTATAGTCTCCTCATACAGAATGAAAGTACATTACCCTCTAACTGTTTCTATTCTTTTTTATTTTATTTTAGAAAACAAGACAATGAGATGACATCAGCCTTCTAACCACAACTCCTCAGCTACTGGAAACTGTGTACCTTTAAAATTAATCGTTCACAAATATATGCTTTCAGTAGGTAAAGACACACATAACACAAAAGAGACATCTTGTATTGGTTGTAAATCTTGTAAAGCACAGCCATGATCCAGACTAAACATACAAAGGTCTCTGCTCAGTTAAAGAGTAACTATTCACTCCATCTTTTACATGGCTATTATTGCACTGGTTTTTTTAAATTATAACTTGTGTTGCACTTTTGACCAGACACACTGTCACTGCAAAGCATTCTAACATACTGTAAGCCTGTTCAATAAGTTAACAATAACTGATAAAAGTCTCATGAAAGGTGAAACATTAATAAAAACAAAAAACCTGCCACTGTCTGAACACTCCATTATCATTGTTTTTGGTCTACTGAAGAAAAAGAAAGTCTTTGGTCAGCTTTTCAGGCCACCTGTATATTTATATATATGTATATAAACACACACATATATGTATATACAGAAACAGAAAAAAAAAAACTATAAAATGAAATGCTTGTTTTTTGTGCATTGTCATCAAATGCTGATGAATACTGTCATACAGTTTGCTATGTTTAAATATGTTGGACAATAAAGTTTTTCAAATACAGTTTATTGTGTAACTATAATTCAGACTCAGTGTGATTTATGATTTTCTTCTTTTACTGTGCATTCTGCCAAGCTACAGACATAACAACATGTTGTTGTTGAGATGTTCCTGACCGGCCTTTTATCTCAATACTCCACTACAATTTGTATTTAAATGTTTCTTATTGTCTTTTCTCGTTATTTATCAGTTAAAACTAACAACAATAATATTTGGCAGTGGTAATTTATTGCTTTAGTAGGCCTATTGTTGTTTTATACTGTAATGAGGTAGGCCTATACTCTTAGAGAATATGGATAAGTTTCTCCTTACAGCAAAAGTTGCAGTGGGATACAAATGATTTCAGACTACATTTTCAACCCGCCACAAAATTTATCCCCGCTCTATAAAGCACAGACACAGCCCTACTATCAAGAAGCCATATTATGCATGCACCAGATAATTATCAAAAAACAGAAGAAGCTTTAACCCTTTAACATCCTAACTGTTTGGTAGAGCACAATTTGAGTCACTATATCTTAATGAAAAATTTGTTAAATTTTAACTCAACCTGATTGAGCTACATTTGGTTCAGGCACGTCATGCTAAAAAAATCCACTAGATGTCACTGTGTCTTAATATCATATGCCTTGTCAGTTCACCTCCTTCAGACACAAAGGCTCAGTGTGGTGGGATTTTCAAAGGTAGGCATGTTTATTAACAAATTATAGTTTCAGAGGTCTTACTGAACAGGTTTGAGTAACCTTGTACAAAAAATAAAAATCTAATAAGGGTCAAATAATTTAAAAATAAAAAAAGCTCTGCAAAACAATTCATTTGTCCTTTAATGGTAAAGGCAGAGAAGCTAAGCTAATATAATTAAAACTGACAATCTGCTAAGAAATAAAACATCTTCTGATCATTTACTGTTGTTAAATGATACATTTAATGTTATCCATTTTATATATATACGTATGTTTTTTGACTGCCTAAAGCTATGCTCAGTGAAATGGATGAATTGGCCTTTAATGGCAAAGGTAGTGATGCTAAGATAATCAATTTGCAATTCTTATGAAATAAAAATATGAATGAATGAATATTCATTGTTGTTAATACCATAACTTTAATATTATTCCATTATATATTTGATGAAAACAATTCTATCAACATGATTTTTTTTCACCATTTTTGAGATGCTTTTGAAGTACTGCAATGGTAAAAATCTAGAATACATACATGGAAATAATAGTAGTACTGGTATTACTACTAATTCCATGGTCACAAATTGGTATATGTTGGTAAACTAACATATTTCTAACATTATAACAGAACATGATTTGTAACTTTTTTCCTGTTGTACCATTACCATGAAGGGCCATCACAGCTGTGTGGTAGAGGCCTATATTTAAAAAACTATGGGGTCTGCTAAAAAAAAATTAAGATTGATTTTTGTTATTATAAGCAAACAAAAAATGCAAAGGAAAAGTTTTTCCTTTCATTTTTTCTTGGTGAGGACATTAAAGGGCTAACCTTTCAACAAAATAGTCCTTTTAACTTTTTCTTTTTAATCCTCAACAGTCAGTTTTGTCATATGCGGGCCTTGAATGCACGTATGATGGAAGCCCTGCAAACAAATGTCACACTGAACATGGAAAACAAATAATATGCGTTTGAATAAGATGCTTTCAGTAAGAAGCTGCACAGTTTCATTCTTGATGAGGAAGAAATCATGTGTCCTAAAAAGGTAACAAAATCTGTGGACTGTCAGATGGCGACACTACAGTTTGGCCTGCAAGACACTGTATCCCTCTGTGACTCAAAGAGGAAACTTCTTCATATTTACCAAGGTTATCACAATGATCTGAAGTATATACAAATTAAAATAGCCTATTTGATGGTAATTCAAGATGGTGCTGCTAACAATAGTCTAGTAGGCTATCTAGTTAATATCTTGGTCTGATGCTTTGGATGAGTGCAGATGGAAAGGCTTCAGATATTGCCTCATAAATAAATACCATTCCTCTCTAATGCCAATGGTATGATTTATTTCTCTAAAGCTCACTTCATTATTTGCATAACATAACACCCATGAAGATGTTGCTCTGGATGCAAAATTCCTCACCAGCACTCGACAGCGTCAGCGCCTCCGTCCATCACTTTGTCCTGAATGTAAACATGTCATTAACGTTGTAATTTGCCCTACATGCTCACAACAGAATAATGGTTGTTTGGAGTTCTTTTCCTTCAGTCTTGTGTTGAGAAACTGGAAGTAACTCTGTTGTTTACGGTGTGACTCTGAATGTACGTGCTGTTCCCTCACATAACACAAGGCTGTGATTTCTATGGACAATGAGCACCAGTATGTGACAAGACTGCAGAGGCCACTGCTGAATAAACTGTCTGCTTGCTGCTTCCAGAGTCACTCACCAACAACTTGCCACAGACACTCCAGAGATATAAATACTGAATAGTTAGCATTATCCTCTCCAGGTCCAGGGGCAACGGAGGAGTGACACCACAGTTCATGACATACAAGTCATTCTCATCCTTTAGATCACACTTAACGTTGGACAAGTGCTAGAATGAATCAGCTGGGTATATAAAGTGTGTGAGGAGAGCACTACAGATGCCAGAGCAGCCTTTTCCTCAGACCTCGTGCTCACTTTCTGCCGGGAATAAAAATACTGCTGCCCTATTGTTTAGAGTCCAAATCATCAATCTCGATTTGTTTGTTAGGGTGGAGCTCTAAGCCTTTGCAGTTTCACCATCCTTTCCCTTCATTCTGAGCTTATTTTTTAGGATATGGGGGACCAAAATAAAATACTATCCCGTCCCATTTTCCGCCGAGATGTCAAGTGGGATCCCTTCCCAAATTGGACACAGCCAAGCCGAATCTTTGCGCAGGATTTTGGCCTCCCTCCATTCCTGGATCCAAGTGATCTGGACTGGATAGAGTGGTCAAAGAGGAGACTGGCAGCTTTCTCCTGGCCTGGGTACACACAAACTCCCCTTCTGCCTCCATTCAGCAGTCAGCACCCTGCGGCGTTGAACCAAAAGGATCTGAGGCAACTTACGAGCGGGGTGTCAGAGATCCGAACTGGGCAAGACAGCTGGAAGATTAATCTGGACGTCAATCACTTCTCACCAGAGGAGATTACAATCACGACCAAGGAAGGGTACTTGCAAATATCAGGTACTCTGCATGTGCTGTTTGTGAGATGTGAGAAAACTTAAATGTCCAGTGTGCAGGATTTAGGGGGATATGTATATATATAATGTATATATTATAAGTATGTTTTCTTTCGTGTATAATCACCTAAAAATATGTTTTTGTTACCTTAGAATGAGCTGTTTATATCTACATGAGGAGTGGGTCCTCATCCATGGAGTCTGCCATGTTGCACTGCCATGATTCTATGGTAGCCCAGAGCAGACAAACCAAACACTTGCTCTACACAGGGCCATTTGTGTCTTTGCTGATGCAAAAACATGAATTTATTGTATATGAAACTGCTTTATTTACTGGTTTTAATCACAGGTTCCATTTGTTGTGGAGAGGAAGAGATCTCTGCAAATAATTCAGCTCCCGGTAAAAACCTCTTTAAAGTCTGAATCTGGATTCCCGTGTTGGCCACCATAGTTAGCAGCCCTTCTGCGACGAGCTGAACACAGTCTGTAAACGTGAAACTGCTTTAGGGTCCATTTGTTTTATAGAGGAAGAGACCTCTGCAGACATGCATTACTGGACAGGTCTTCTGAGCACAGGCCCAAGGGCTCAAAGTGTCAGTGCCCTGTCTTTTACCTGCAAAATATCACCTAAATTAACACATGCCGACAAAGGAGAGACTCAAAATGACCACAAAGAGCTGCAAAGGAACTGCAAAGATACATAAAATAAGTACAGAGAGGGCCAAAACAACCACAAAGAGAAGCAAAAAGCACACAAAATGACATCAAAGAAACAAACGACTACAAAGAGTCACCAAACTAAACCATTAAGGAGTCACAAAATTACCACAAAAAGATGCGTAATGACTACAAAGACACGCAGAGCAACAACAACAACAACAACAAAAAGGGCAAAACCACCACAAAGTCTGTGTTTCTTACCTCTGTATTGGAGAGTTGGTGGGGCCTTTTGCATACTGGTGCCCAGGGGCCTGGGGCTGTATTCACAACCATTCTGAGAACACTCTCAGAGAACATTTAACTTAGCCTAAAAAAATAGTGAGGATTCCTAGCTTAGGGGTGATTTAGGAGAGCAAGGAAGGGACAGAAAGTATTACCTTAGTGAGGAGGTGTCATTGACCCCCTTGCTGGGTATGAAGCATTCTTTTAACAGTTGTGATTGGTTGTCACAGACACACCCCTGTGTGAGCCTGCGAGGTGTGGACACCCAGTGGAAATGAGATGAACTGCATCACAATGTGAGACTGAAAATGTTGTCATTGTCAGTGTGATCACTCTGCTGATGGAAGGTTGACACAGACTCAAGTCATCACTGCTGCACTGTTGCATTTTTCCGGTTCAAATATCTTAGTGTTGTGATCATTTTATTTCTGGTGTTATAGAGTTATTGCGTTGGTGGAAAATGTGTGTGTATCTCTAATGAGATCTACCACAAATATTAGCCCTGCACCATCAACTCTTTAGCATTTCATTAACTCACTGTCATCCAGTGTTTTGAGAATATTTCTCGTACCTCTTAATCTTTCTGCCATTTTCTCCTCTGCTTACGAAACTCTCAAAGTCCTCCCTACTCTTTTAAGGTCTAAGATGCTCTGTGAATAGCTTTTATCTTTACAAGGACCTAGTCTTAACTTTAAGGGGAAATTCTAAGAAAACAAAAGAATTTTCTTAGAACAGCTCTTTGTACAGGAAGCTTTGTGAATATGGCCCCAGGAGTTCATACTTGGCCCATGGGGGAAGTTTCAGCTGGAAACAATCTACAATCCTCACCAGTAGATGCTACTAAATCCTACACACTGCTCCTTTAAGTAAAAACATCCTAATGAATCTAATCAATTTGTGCTTTATCATTAA